TATATATATATATATATATAGTATAAAGCCTTTACACATAGTTGAATCTTTACTCATAGAGCCTAAAAGCAGCTTGGCTAGACATTTGGACTTCTGCAGCCCAACGACAAATTGCCTCTGTAGGCATGACTTGGTGATGATAATAAAAATAAAAATCTGTTTTGCGATTATTGTTAGAAAGTACCTCAAATTAAACATGATGTCAAATATATATAGTTTTTCCCTGATGAGAAGAAGAGGTTACTGAATGTTAATAGTAACAACAATACACATGCAGCTGGTAAAACTAGTTCCTCGTTTTGATTTTGACCTTTAAGTTTAGTGTACAATATAGGAGCTGATAATACACAGACAAACACACGTATGTAATGTATACAAAGAAAGCGCAAACAATCACATGCTTTTATCCAGAATTAATTTTATTATTTTAATACTAAGTGTTAAAAACCTTAGCCACTGATATACATACTACTATTTCTATTATATGCTATTTATGTTATGTTATAATCTTTATATTATATGCTATGCTATTCATATGTTACGCTATTTATATTATATCCTATGATATTTAAATTATATGCTATGATATTTATATTATATGCTACTGTACTGTATATTCCGTGTTCATCTGAATGTTAAATCTGATTCAGTTGATACTGTTGCCTTGATTATCAAGAAATAGTTGCATTTTTTACATAAAGAGAAAAACTATTAAATAAACATAAACACAAAGTTAATAAAATAACTCTTTTTATAATTATATATAAACAAACAATAAATAATTACAGCTACGGGTTTCTAGAAACCGTCAGTTAGTAAACAGAAATATTTGTTGCACGTTCTCTAAAAGATCATTTAACTTCGTGACCAGTTTTCTGGCCCAAATCCTTCTATGTGGACTTTTCTACTCAGAAAATTCCTTAAATTAACAAATGTGTAGTTTTATTCATTCAGCAGACAGTTTGACCTTAAACTGGCCAGTATCATGATGGCGATAATCAGAGTATAACCCGGCTAAATAAGCTTTGAGTTAGGCTTTGGTCTGTGTAGCCCACATTATTCAGCTGGCGTAATGAGCCTCTGAATACTGTAGGATAGTTACAAAAAACATAAGCTACAATATTAACCTGTTTTCACTGCTGTATCCGCAAGGCAGCGATCCCATTTTCGTCCATACTCGTCCGCCATGTTTTCTTCGAAGACGAGATTACGCGAAGTATCGCGAGAGCTGAATGAATTCCCGTGAAGTCTTTTCAGTGATTCTCTGTTACCCAGTTTCACTTTTTTTGTTTCTTTTATCTTTAAATTAGCATTTTGAATGCAATAATTATATATTTTTAAACAAACTATGCAAATTCTCATACTTTATGCATTAGAAGCTCTTTATATTATAAAGGACTAACAGGAGTTTGAAGCAGCTAATAATGTTGTTTAAATATAATTATAAAAATAAGTATTTAATTAATTTTGTGTTTATGTTTAATAGTTTTTCTTTTTATGTGAAAAATGTAACTAGTTCCTGATAATCAATATATTAATATTTATTACAAGGATGCCCAGGATATCCTTGTCAAAGAGAATCGAGATTAATAATCTCAATGGATTTCTTTCCTGATAAAATAAAGGTTTTGTTCTTTCTTGTATAGTGGTCTGTTTTGTCATATTACATTTTTAATTTGCCCATCACGTTTTTCAATATTTAATTGTTGTTTTGGTTTATTGTTTTCATCTGCTATAAGTAAAATGTGCATGGTTTTATAAAGTGTGAAATTAATTTGTCTGGCTCCATTACACTAAAGTCAAGGAACTGTATTCCAAATATTTATGTTTGCAAAGGAAAACATCTGTTTTTGATTACATTTTTTAACATGATTTGAACTTTTGCTCCCACAAAATCATGCTCGATTTTCCTGAAGGAGCAAAACGTTTTTTGCAACAACCCAATAGATATGTTTTTCCATTTCTTATTTTCCAAGTCAGTCAGTTTGATTTGTCGGTACATAAATTTTTTTCAAAATCAAAACGTGGAGATGGTAATGACAACATAATTTTCTGCAGAAGAAAACTCAATCTTTCTGGTGAATAAAGGCTATTTACCACCTCTCTTTCTGTATTCAAGACTGCTCTGAAAACACATCTCTTTAGACTCGCTTATCCTTAACTTTGCTGTATGTATTTTGTATTCTTTATGTAATTTATTCCTGTTGATCTTTGTTCTTACTGTAAAGTGTCCTTGGGTGTCCTGAAAGGCACTTTTTAAATAAAATTATTATTATTATTATTATTATTTAGGATTTGCAGGAAGGATTTGCATAAAATGAGTTCGTAAAAAGACACCATCTTGCAATCCTAAAATAGCATATGATCTCCGTAATATTCATTCATTCATTATTCATTCATTAAATCTTTATTTATACAAATTAGTCTCATTGAGCCTTGAGGGCTCATTTACAAGAGAGACCTGTTTTATAAAAAATGAACACAAACAGATGAGGTACAGACAACAATAGACAATCATATAAAAAAAGATATAAAATGAAAAGTAAAGAAATAATATAAAAACGAAACAAAAGCAGCTACATTATAAAGAAATGTAAAATACTTAAAACACTGGACATGCCTGCGCTGGTTTTTGTCATGAACTTAGCAGTTGTTTAAAATCACTTAGATTGGTCAAGATCGACAGCTTCAGATCTTTTTGCAAGGTGTTCCAGGTTACAGGAGAATTTCATGATTACTCAATGTTGTAAAAATTCCTCATTCTTGTTATTTTGCCAACACAGGTCACATTTGCTGAAAGGTTCATGCAATCTCTAAAACTATGTAAAAATGTAGTCTTTTTTTTCCAGACAATGGACGTTTTACAGTGCTAAATGTAAATTCTGGATGTTAAGTTTCCCAAAATTTAGAATTTAAACATGCTGTAATTTGCCTTTACCTTTTTTTTAATACCCAAATGCATGCTCTTGGTATCATTTGAGAAGTTATTTCAAACCTTTTTCAATTGGAATTTTTAAAAAAAATCTTTATTAAAACAAATGACAAGTATACAACAAACAACTGAAAGGAGTATACAGATGAACACAACACTTATATGAACAAAAAACAGAGTTGTGATTTTTAAACAAATATTTGCAAAGATTTACAGATAGAAATTGTCTCAAGGGCCTTTTTGTTGGTAGTCTGTTATTAACTTTACATATAATTCCACATCCTTAATAAAATGAAGAAAGCATGGTGTTTTGTTAGTAAATGTACATTTATGAATGAAACATCTGACCAAAAGAATTAGCAAGTTTATTATAAAAAACATTTAGCATCCTTTCTGGGAAATCTAGAAAAACAAATTAAAGCATTTTCCCAACGTAAGAAAAAATTCCTTAAAATATGGTTATTAATAAACCTGATAAACTCCTAAAATCTGTGTGTGAAAGGGGAGTGCCAAAAAAGATGTGTCACAGTTTCTGGAAGGTCACAAAAACTGCCATCAATATTTATGTCTCTTTTAAATTTTATCATATAATGTTTAGCGGGGTAAATTTTATGAAGAATTTTAAATGACACTTCCTTCACCTTATTTATAATTAAATATTTATGGGGAGTCATCGAGACTGTCTTCCAGTTGATATCTGGGATATAACGACTCCAATGAGATGTTATATATGTCTTTTTCAATTGAAATTATTTGTTTTTACATAAAACTCCTGGAAATTTGAGTTAGCAAACCTAGCTTTCAGAAGGCCTTTCAAACTTCATAGGAACAATTTTTTGTATCATGATAATTTTCTCCCAAATTATAGCAAGAATAGATTTCTTTAACCACGCCATTATCCCCTCTGTAAACTCGTGACAGCTGAGTGAAGATGTTGTGATGTCTGTCAGTATCTCCCGCCCTCTCAGCCTGCATATTTACTGCACAGCTCATCTCTTTCCATACTTGGCAATGCTCTTCTTGCTCTGTCGCTATTGGCTGCTGCGGTAAAACACCCGAATGACCCGGATGTACAAGCTGGGCCTGTTTTCTCACTGCAGCCTCCTTCCTGTAGCCCTGGTTGAGGAAGTGAATTTCGCTGACAGGGCTGGGTTCAGACAGGGAGAGGCGAAGAAAAACATCTTCAGCTGGGGGGGGTCTAAAAGAATAAACGCAGCGAAACAATAACAGACCGGAGGAGTAAAGTGATCAATCGCTGCGAAGTTAAGGTGCAGTCATCGGTGAGACCGTTCCCCGCTGAGACCGCCGCAGACATGGTAAGGGCCGCGGGGGAAGCTGGTGGGAGAGACGGGGTGAGAGAGCTATAATCGGGTGTTCCTACTCACTGAACTGCTGGGTGGTAATCCGAGAGGACCGGCGGGCATAAAGCACTCAGTGCATCCAACTTGCGCTAATAGCAAAACTTCTGGCTCGCTAAGATTGAATTAGCTTTGTGGCTAAATTGCTAGTTAGCTTCCTGCTAACATTTAGTCGAGCTAGCTACCCCCTAAAGAAGTTAGCACAGGATGTTTTGGATTTGACACAAGTTTAATACAGCGGTGGTGAATATTCCTAATATAGCTCACACACCATCCCTCCACCCTTTAGCTCAGGCTAAAGCAGTCAAGCGCCGGGTTGCTTGTAGCTAAAATAAGACCGCTTTCTCCTATTTCCAACCATGACAAGTTGGCAGCCTTCTGCTTGCTTTTCTGCTTCAGAGATCCATTAAGGCCTTTGTTTTTTTTTGTTTTCTTGAAGAAACATCACTCTCAGTACAGCTAATTTCACTATCTATTGTTCATATGTTGTCCTTTAGTGCATATGTTTTTTTTGGTCTCATAATGTATACTTAAAACTTGTCCAACTTGAACAGCTACGTTCAACAAGGTGCAACTGACTCCCTTTCCTCTGTGTTAAATAATCTAAACCCATGCATGCATCAGGATAATCTAAACACAGTTTGTGAAAGTAGCAAAAGCAGCAATTGCAATTAATCAAAGAATTAATATAGAAATACTTACAAATACTTTCGATTAGATCAAAAACAAGCATTGGCTGCATTTTTTTTTTAAAGTCATGGCAAGTTTTGCTAATTAACTTGAGTTTTGTATTTACTGATATCAAATACCAGCCAAGGAATACTTGCTTATATTTGTACTCCACCAAGTTTTTTTGTGTGTGGGGGGGAACTATACATTTTTGCATAACTGTTCCACATCAATGATATGGTAAAACAACAAAACACACACATAAATGACAGCATGCTAACCCTACCCAATATAACGTTAGGGTTGAATGACTGAAGATTAAATCACTCACGCTTGCTTACTGAAAATAGTTTATAAATATGCTGGATTCACAGTAATGGTAAATGGACTACTGTACTTATATAGTGCCTGTCTATCTTGTCAAGATACTCATTGATTTACACTACAATCTGTGTCTGCATTTACCCATTCATACAGCACTTTACTATGTCTCTACAAAGAATCAGTTCTTTAGATCACATTCATACACCGATGGGAGACACATCGGAGTCAATGAGGGGTTCAGTGTCTTGCCCAAGGACACTTCAGCATGTGACTGCTGGTTGAATCAAACCCCCAACTTTCCCATTGGAGGACGACTGCTCTAACCACTCAGCCACAGCTGCCCCTAAAGTAAAGATGGTGGTTCTTGATCGACAGTAGAGCCAATCCGTTATGCTACAGAAACTGAAATTAGATTAATTTTGCATCCAGTTTTGTTATTTCTAGATTAGCATCTTTGTGTTATGTGTGATGATCTGTGCCAGAAATTAGTAGAGCAGTTGTTTTTTTCTCAAAACTTACCCTCTTTTGGTTCCCCTCCTCCATCCTGCTGCCTGAGCCTCGATGCTCTCTGACATCGGGAGTTGCCGGTCTGATTGATGTCCATCTGATTGATGTCCACATCGAGAAAACAGCACTTATAAACCTTGTCTCTAGACATATAGATGTGATGAAAAACCTATTTTAAAACGGATAATAAAAAAGTGACCAAGAAGACAGAAAATTACATTAATTTCCTTAGGGTTACTGTTAATGTAAATATTAAATGTTTGAGGGTTCTCTACAACACATTAGATTGGATATGCATTGAGCACTTCAGGTATAAATGACCCAGGTTAGATAACTCTACATCTACAAAAAGGTAACTGAATTGAGTGTAACAGACAATGAGGGTCAGACAGCTTTTGTTATGATAGTGGTCTGATCTTATCATATAGTCATACTTGTGTAGATGAGCAAAGCAAAGTTCCAAGGTGTTTGAAGTCAGGTTTTTGCTGCAATTCATTTCTTATATTTCCAGTTTAATGTGACATGCTGGAGTGATCAGGTTTAGAATTTATTTCAGCTGAGCCTAAGCTAAGATGGTTGACTTTGATGCCTGTCTGATAATTTTTTTACGAAAATGTTTGTAGTCTAGACAACAACCTCTAAAAGTTTTCTGGGAAAAAAATGTATTTTCCGTCTAGAAACCATCCAGATGACCTGATTGAACATTGTTGGATACATTGTTGGATTTATACCTGGATTAATGAGCATGAACTTTGGCATTCCTTCTCCTGTTTCGCTCTCCTACAGTTTCCCACAGTGTCATGTTGGAGCTGCTCTGCTCTGCCTTGCTCACTAACGTCCTGTTGCTCACTCCATATTTAAGACTGAAAAATCCCCACTGGGAAATTACACTGTGCAGTGTTCGGTGCTTTGTAGCTATCATCTCTTCAAACAGAAATGTCACACTTCATGTTGACATGCAGGAGATTAATAAAAGTCCAATGTGGCTTCTTCATTTTAAAACGAGCATTAAAGATGTCAGGCATATTTATTCATGTAAATTCTTAACAGAATTGGGCCTTTAATACATAGTTTTTAAGTGATTTTGTAACATTTCTATTGCGTTTCAGCTGTTCGTGTACACAACAGCATTGATTGTTTTCTCTGATGGAAACTTTTTGTATCCAGGACTTGGAGTGCAAAGTTTTGGAAAATGGTAAATGGACTGTACTTAGCTAGTGCCTTTCTATATTATTAAGTATCAAGATACTCAAAGCGCTTTACACTACAATCTGTGCCCTCATTTACCCCTTCATACAGTACTCTGCTAGATCTGTACAAGTGGAAGAGGGGTGGGGAGTCTGAGATTATCATCATTGTATCGTCCCATAAAATGGTGAAATTATGTCTCTGCATTTAACCCATCACACATGAGATTCACTCAGGTGGAGCTGTGGGCAGCTATGTAAGTGCCCGGGGAGCAATTGGGGATTAGGTGTCTTCCTCAAAGACACAACATATGGGAATGGCTGGGAGTCGAACTGTGACTTTCTGGTCCCCAGTTGACCGCCCTACCTCTACCCTATCTCTAGATCACATTCATACACCGATGGGACACACATCGGAGGCAATGAGGGATTCAGTGTCTTTCCCCCAGGGACACTTCAGCATGTGACTGCTGATTGAATCGAACCCCCAACTCTTCAGTTGGAGGACAACTGGTCTAACCACTCAGCCACACCTGGAAAAGCTTGGTATCTGTGTGAAATCACACTTGCACGCTATGGAGGGCTGCAGTCAGTAGTGTTTCTGTACAAGTAGATGAATAATGTCAGATAGCAGAGTGCTGTTTGTGCTGCTTGCTCTTTTCTGTTTATCAGAGCTTCTGGCACAGAACATAAATTTGTCACATCATATTTTAGATTCGCAGAAACGCATTTCTCACTTTCTAAAATACTGAACAGAGCTGTAACGGTTTTCATGCTCGAAACTGAAGTGTCTGCGTGCATGTGAGTGTCGTTGAAATACAACAGTTACAATGGCAGCTATAGTGACCTGGCATGAAAATTACAGCAGAGTTGATGTTTTTATGGGATCTCGTTTTAACAGCGATTATGATCATAGTGTTGCAGAGTGAACGTTTTCCCACTCAACATCAAAACATCTGTTATGTTTCCAGGAGATCATTCCTATGTAAATGGCTTTTAAAGACCCTGCATTTTCAGAAAGAATGCCTGTATCGCTCGCCACCTGTCAGGAAAACACTTTAAATTAAGATAACTTATAAGAAATGAGCTACAGTTGTTTTTATCAAACCCATCATGCATAATCTCACTTGATCTGTTAGTGCTCAACTTTCAGCTACTACCACACCAATTTAGCTTAATATTTGGAAAATTGACTGAGTTTTATTTATTTTATTTACTTATTTTTGCTAAAGAGGCTTAGCTCTGGTGGACATTTTGAATGTTAATTATTTGCAGATGTAGATTACACCTGGCTTGAGAGTTTCAATAAAATCTGTCCAATGGTTCAACAGATATTTTTCCAACACAACAAATGACATCACATGTTTTTTCTTCCTACAAAATCTATCTTCAGTTCAGATTACATTGTTTTAACCACCTCCTATATATTGATGCAAATACAAAGTCTGAGGCTCGGTAGCAAATTGGCTACATGTTTATTCTGCAGTAATTAATGAAAGGTTTACCTTGTGTAAAAACTGACACGTTTTTGCAAGCTAGGAAAAACAGCTCAATGAGATAAAAATATAATGTTGCACTTGGTGTCTAAATGTGACAAAATAACTACACAATTTCTCACAGGGCACTTGTTTTATCAGTTTTTTTACCACACAGTTTTTTCACAGCTGTATTTACACATTGTTGCTCATTATTTCTGTGTACTCATCAGAACTGATGTGGGGTTGAAAGTGTTGAATGTCACATCCACTCAGTGAAGTTAGAGCAGTCCATTTTTATTTATGGCTCATGGTAAAACTCAGTTGGCACAGAGGTAAAAACATTTCAAAACAGTTAAACGGCACTTAAGCCCACCTGAAGTGATAATATCATGCAAGATAAAAGCAACTAAGGAAATAAAAAATAAATTGATATGTATAATTTTTGAACTTATGTCTTAAAGTACTCTACATTAAATTAATTAAAAAAACTTCCTTTATTAAAGGCCATTTCTTTGCAAGTTGTCTTGATAAACACCTAAATTGGTTTCTGAACATTCATTTTTCCAGGGGACACGGACTTTAGCTGGAATTACATTTGACGGTCGTATTTTTAGAACAACAATAAACTCAACAAAAATGCTGCTCAGCTACCAAAAGTGTAAAATCGTTACCCAGTGTGCTCTGCTTTGTTTAGTTTTTATGCTTTTCTCTCAGCATGAAACATATTTTTGTTGGAACAGTACAGATTTTTTATGGGTATCAGTTTGATCTACTTTAGTTTTGCTTCCTGTAACCAGTAAAGCCACATGCTAACACCTGTAGCGCTTCTTTTACAACCATTTACAAAATATTCACATGACAAATCACGGGTGAATTCCCACCTTCTTTTCTTAAGCTCAATGTATGTAGTGTGTATTTGTGTAGTGTAGTCTTCTGTTACTAATAAAGTCCAGTTGTTTTTGTATTGGAACGTTTTTTTATTTTTATTTTATCATGTCCTGGATGACTGAGAATTTTCACCAGCAAATGTAGTGTGTGTTTGTGTGAGTAATCCCTGATTATGATAAATGGTTTGCCCAGAAGGATAGGAATTCCTACACAGTCTATTTATTTATTTTGCAGTCATGAAGAATGTAGAAACACTATTCTTCTTTGAGAATGTAAGACGTTTAGTTGTCCAACTTGTTCAAATGACCCCTTCATTTTCTGCTTCAGCCTAAGTAACAGATTGGGTCAATAGTCTTGTAGATGTGTGGATGGTTTATCTAAAAGTTGCTGTACCTGAATTTTGAGGACAAAAATCTTAAGGGAAATCTTTTGACCTGTACAGAGAGGAAATCTGGTGGTTTTTAATTAATTTTTTTGTCTCTCTTTGGGCAAATTCAAATGTGTCCTCAGGCACTTGATCTCATCTTAGTAAGAATATCTGTGAGACATAGCTTTATCACTGTCCAAAATCAAATGAAATGACTTGAATACGTTGAGGTCCACAGTTTTATCAGAGCAGAGCAGTGCGTGTTGTGCTGTCTGGTTCACGGCGAGCCCGGGTGCGAGCAGCAGAGAGAAACTGCAGGTGAAAGGTCACCTGCAGAAAGCCAAGGAGGACACTCCACTATCCTAATGGAACTACCCCCTTTCATGAAGGTTGATATAGAAATTATTATTTTAATGCTTTTCATAATACAAAGGTGATGATGTGTAATAAATTATTAAATGCCTACATATTAAACATATGTGTTCACAAGTGATCAATTCACAACAATCATTGGGAGATGGATACCAGAACTGATGCACCATTACCCCTGCTCCCACACCGCGACACCACCCTCCCCGGGACTTTTGTATCTAAAATCTAATTTTGTTTTAAATGTTAATATGTTCAGAGCATCGTCATCATACAGACATGTACAACTTGCGTCAGTTACCAAACTGGGTCCAAACTGCGCCATCGTGGGAGCGCGCTCAACCTGTCTCTCTCATAATGAGAGGAGGCTCTCATTGTGCAATTAAGCAACATCAACACAAAAAAAATATGTATCTACCCCAGATTATAGCTAAGACATGTCTCCATTTAGCTTTAATTTTCTCCCCTATAGTTCACGAGGTTCTCTGTGTGAGGCGCACCTGTGTATTAATCAGGCTGTCCAATCAGCATCTTGATGTGCCACACCTGTGACGTGGATGGATTATCTCGACAAAGGTGAAGTGCTCACCAACGCAAAGTTACACATTTGTGAACAATATTTGAGAGAAAATGAAATTTTGTGTACATAGAAAAAGTCTTAGCTCTTTGAGTTCAGCTCATGAAAAATGGAAGCATAAACATATTATTTATGCTCTGCAAATGACTTCCTGTGCTCTAATTATTTAAAATATATCGGACAACCCCATAACTGAAAACACTGAAATGACCTGAAAGTAAACTAATGAAAAGCTGTTCAAACCCATCTCTTCCTTCAGAATAATGTTGGTCTTGATGGTGCTTCATTAGAGAACATTATACTGTGTACTTTTTACTAAGGTAATGTACACAGTATACCAGAGCTATTCAACAACACTGCTCAGGGGGCCACGGTTTCTGAAAGCCAACAACTTGGGGGGGCCGGACATCCAGCGATTTAAAATCATTATGTAAATGAACCAAGTTTTACAATGATCTGTTACCTTTTAATTTAATTTTTTTTTTTGCAATTGCATTAAATCATAAATGCAATAAAAAGAATCCAAACCCAGAACAAAAATATATTTAATAATAATTATTATTATTATTGTTGTTAATTTTTTTTTAATGATGTGGCCCATGGGCCACTGGCCACCAGTTGAATAGCCCTGCAGTATACTGTGTACCAATGATGATGGGTAACTTCTAAGTACAGAAAAAAGTTATAGTCAAGATTTTCTTCTGCTTTAATCCCTGGAATTATTTAATCGTGTTTTTTGTTTTCTCGTGAGACTTTTTTCCGTCAGGCAATACGTTTACATGGAGTTGCATGCAGGCTTCTTCCTTGCGTACTGAACTTGCATTTTCTTGTGTATGGTTCAAACTGACTGACTTGAGGCGATTGAGACTACTTTCTGTGTTGGTGCAAATGTTATCGACAGTTGACTGGACAATGTCTTTGTGTATGAAGGCTAAACTGGAGATTACGACACAATTGAGCCTTGTGCCATGAATGCATTCAATAGATGTCTCTTTTTTTTGTTGTTGTTGGATGTTAATTACTGCACTTGTACATACAACTATTGAACCAGAGATAACTGAATATCACTTTATGTTCAATAAACAGACAAAAAAGAAAATTGAATGTGTCTCATTGAGTGACGCATGCTATGCTTGGTTGTGATACAGCACAATCGCTTGTATTTATAGGTTTTTCGGTCCTAAATTGTATTCAAAGTGGCATTAAAAAGGTCTTAAAGTCCTAAATTTGACTTGCTGAAATGTTTATCGTGTAATCCAGTTTTGTATATGTTTGGCAGCACTTTTCATCCATCTGACTTGCATGTTACCATGCTTTTAACATGGGAGCTTATTTTGACAGCTGCCTATGCAGTTTCGTTTTTGTTTTAATGAAGCAGAAGTCCAGTCACTGGTAAAAGACTAATATTTAATGTAGTGTAGCTGTTACTGATTCTTCCATGTACTGATAGTAAATCAAACACTCTAACGTTTACAGCTGCTGTCTGAGTTCAATAAACTGTGAGCTTTGTGTGTCGGCTCCAAATGGTATTTATTATGACTTGTAGCTGGAATTGTTGCTTTATCCTTCATTTACAAAGTGTGACACAGATTAATGCAGCTGTAAATTATCTTTTAGTTTAACAAATCATGTTGTCGGTGCAGGAACAGTCAAGTGTTTTTAATACAATAATAAAGTATCTTTTTATAACTTGTGTCTGCACCACAGAAATGAAAGAGTTGATGTATTCAGTAGACTGATATTTATAATAAAACTCCAACATTTGTAGTTTACCAGACTTGTGTTGTACAACCCACTGAATTTAAAGATGTACTTCTTATCCTAACCCCATGAATAACCCTCAAATAGTTGATGTACCAGGACATCATATATAAAAATCCTCAGAGTGAAATGGTGGAATGCCCCCTCTGGGTCAGGGATGAGACTTTGCTTCAGGTGGAGTTTTAATTATCTGGGCGTCTTGTTCATGAGTGATGATAGGATGGAGCGGGAGATGGATCAACCGATTGGGGCTTTGTCCCCAGTAATGAGAGTGTTGCTTCAGCCTGTCATGGTGAAGAGAGAGCTGAGTGGGAAGGCATAGCTCTTGATTTAGTGGTCTGTCTACGTTTCAACCCTTACCTGTGGTCATTCGGTTTGGATCTAACCGAAAGAACAAGATCCCGGAATCAGATACAAGTGGACAAAATGGGCTTCCTTCGCAGGATGGTTGGGCTCAGTCTTAGACATCGGGTGAGGAGCTTCATCATCTGGGTGGAGCCATGAGTAGAGCTGCTGCTCCTCCACATAACAAGGAGTCAGTTGAGGTGGTTTAGCGTTAGGATGCTTCACAAACACCTCACTGAGGTTTTCCAGACACGTCCCACTGGTAAGAGAGGGGTTGTGTATCTTCTTTAGCTTGGGAATGGCCTGGGAACACCTCTGTGTACCCCAGGATGAAATGGTGTGGCTGAGGAGAGGGATGTTTGGATTTCTTTCCTGGACCTGTTGCCTCATGGGCTGTACTTGTGTAACGCTTTTCTTCCTACCGTAATCAAGATACTGGAAGCACTTTACAACACTATCTGTGCCTTCTTTTACCTCTACAAACACATACAGTGTTACAAGATCTCTACAACGCTAATTGAACAATTACTACTCATCACTGCTTTTATCACATTCATACACCGATGGGACTCTCATCAGAGGACATGAGGGGCTCGGTGTCCTGCCCACGGTCACTTCGACATGTGACTGCTGGTGAAATCGAACCTCCCAACTCTCCCGCTGGGGGACGACTGCTCTAATTACTCAGCCACAGCTACCCTCAAAGAATAAACCTGTACAACAGTGTCCTCTTCCATCACTTGCCATCAAATACTAAGTGAAAATATAAAAGGCAACATGTTAAACACCACAACAGTCTAGTATGATTCAGCCTCTTGAACAAAGAAATAAGATAATCTGCTCTTTAATAACTGATAAAACTGGGTTGTAAGCATCGTGTTTTTTTGTTTAGGCGATATCCAAACAGTACACTGGTTTAATATTAGAGAGAAATAAATCTGCGTACAAATTTATGAAATCGTTCTTTGATAAACAATTTTTTGTGTCGAACCAAATTCACAGCGGAAGAACGAAACGACCAGCGTGGCTGTGAACTGTAGAGGCTACTGACACGCCGTCTGTCTCCTGTAACCTGACCGTGCAGCTGTATGATCTCTGCTGGTTTTGTTTTTCAGACCGACCAGCAGCTGGACTGTGCTCTGGACCTGATGAGGCGTCTGCCTCCTCAGCAGATCGAGAAGAACCTCAGTGACCTCATTGACCTGGTGAGTTGCTCACAGGACAAGGTCCAAGCCCAACCTGGTCTTTGTAAGGATTTGATCTTAATTAGCTGCAGTGTGTTTGTGCAATGAAAAAACATTTCTGCCCATCACTGTGGCTTTTTAAAGAATAATGTTCAAAATGTAATGTGGTTTTTATTTAACAATGATCTATTTTCAAATAACTTGATTTTTTGTTGTTGTTTTGTGCAGTTTAGCTTCTAAACTCACCACATTAATCTAAATTAGACATAAGTCAAATGACACTTGTTCCTCTGTTGTTTTCTGATTACATCTGTTGGTTTTCTGCCAGAGCTCCCACCTGTTCACCTCCCTGTTCTCCCCACTTTAACCCCTCTCCTCTGCTCTTTTCTTTCCCTGCGACCACTACGTCCGGTTATTAGCAGCTATTATCACAGCTGCCAATCACATTCGCCTTTTTTATTTTTTTGGCTTCTTCTTGGCTTAAACGCGTTTCCTCCTGATACAGTTCAGCAAAAATCACTGCTTTCATTTGAGTTTATACCACATCTCTCATCTCCTCTTTGATTTCCATACCTACCACACTTTTTCTTTACTCTTGTTTTTGTGTTGTGGCTAGTGTCAGCTGCCAGGTGTGCGTCTCTTCATTTTTCTTTTTCTGAACAACAGTGCCTCCTTTGTGTCTGCTCTGAAGCAGGAGCACATGGAGAGGGGGCTCCATGTCAGTCTGTGAGAACTAATTTGTCCTCTCTTATCTCTTGGATATTGTATTTCTCTGTTCTTTTATTCTAACTTCGTTTGGTATTTAATGAAACTGGAATGTGACGGATAAGAACTTAAAGCATCAGATGTCACCGACTCCATATTCTACTTCCTCTTGTTGCCATTTGTTACAAAAGTTTTAATTGAATAAAATACATTCCTATATTTTACGAGCCCCATAAAACGTGAAGGTTTATTGGCAACTGCTGCATTTAAAGAGATTTTTCAGATTTTAGTAGCGTTCTGTGGAGAAGTTAAAGTTTAAAATTTTACCTGTTTAACTCTTTGAATTGCCTCCGTTTGGAGGTACATAGTTTTCATTTATTTATTTATTTAACTGTATTAATGAACCAAAAATATGCATGTTAGTCTGCCTTCAGGCCCAGGCCTCCCTTGAAAAAGAGATCTGTGATCTCAGTGGGATTTGCCTGGTTAAATAAAGGTTAATAATAATTAAGGAACTGAGTTGTCCAACAAGGCCAGAACCAGAGTGGATTGTCATTTTAAAATAACTTCAACCTCCAAAGATTTTATTGCAGCTCAAACACCTTTTTATAAACTTTTACATTATTGTCATCAGTTCCAGGGTACACGGTTGTCCTGATGGAAATATTCTTGTAGGAAGTGGTACAAGTATTTTTATTATAAGTCTAGAAAAGCAGCAATTGAATATATTTTTCATTCTATTTCTTTAAAAACGTCTTCTTTTTTCCCCCTTAACAAATACCTCTAACAGACATGTTTTGTTTTCACGCTGATTATAAATTAAAGATAAATTCGGTCACTGGAACTTGGCCTGATGGCTGTAAAAGAGGGGACATCAGGTTGGGCTTGTCAGAGCAGTTTTGGGGATTAAACGTGTAGCACGAATAAACAAAGCTACACACTGTTGTAGTTTAAATATTTAACCTTGTTTGGATTATATATTTTATTTTATCTGAACTCTGTAAGTTGCAGTACAGGACCAATAACTACAGCTGTGCAGTAAACACTGATAACATACATGATAACTAGTGGATTTGAGCTCAGTTAATCCTAAATCTTTGAGACTGAATTTTCGTGAAAGAGTTAAAATCCTCTTTAGTGGTAAACTGAGTTTTCTGTTTTCATCTAGGTGCCCAGTTTGTGTGAGGACCTCCTCTCCTCTGTGGACCAGCCCCTGAAGATCGCCCGGGACAAGGTGGTGGGGAAAGACTACCTGCTCTGTGATTATAACCGAGATGGAGACTCCTACAGGTTGAGTATATAAGAACGATTATTTCTGCTTCATTGTGAGAAAACAAAAATCACATAATTAGTAGGTTTCTCCCACGGCAATAAATGAGAGCTGGATTTTTGCCTTTGATAAATCCCAGAAACTTCAGATCTTTAAAAAAAACAGTGAATAAAAACACATTGATGGCGTATGTTGTGTCAAAATATGCACCTTCATTACTTAGAGTTTACATCCCCCGTCACCAAAAGCGATCACTGCGAGAGGTGGGGGACATCCTGGACAGCTCTCCAGTCCATCAAAGAGACGCATAGAGACAAACGAGACAACCATTTACTCTCACTCACACCTAGGGACAATTTAGAATTACCAATCAGACTAACATGCATGTTTTTGGTGTGTGGGAGGAAACCGGAGTTCCCGGAGAAAACCCACGCATGCACGGAGAGAACATGCAAATTTCATCCGGAAAGGTCCCCAGCTGGGATTTGAGCCGGCAACCTTCCCGCTGAGAGGCAACAGCTCTACCAACTGACAGCTGCCTTGAAAATATATAAATCTGTATTAATTTGTTATAAAAAAAAAAAGCCACAGTTATTTGTTTCAAGAGAATCAAAACGCATAGATCATTTTAAAATCACATCGCAGCTCCCTGAATCTTAATGTTTTGAATCCAATTATTAAAAATGTTGTAAATAAACACACTTTATTGTTAAACAAGAACAGATTCTAGTTTTGGTTAAAAACAGGTCTTAAATTTTCTTTCTGTTTGTTTTTTAATCTTCACTAAATGGTACATCTCTGTCTCATGTTTGAACCAGGAGAGAAAATGTTCTTGTAGTTTGTGTAAAATCTGCTGAGGCCCTAAAAACTGACTAAAAATATTGAACTGAGGAATTAGGTGTTTATAAGTGATATATCAGCAAATAGATGTAGATCCTTTTGTATGTTAAGGACAAGTTTCTCACACACTGTCTTACCAGCAGGCATAACAAATGACCAGTAGCCAACATTCTCATTACCAGGACTAGTTATCAAATTTTGGCTCCGTATGTTATTTTTCCACATATTTAGACCTTATTTTAGTTAAATAAATACAGTTGTTTAGTCTCAGTAGTTTTATAGTCGTTACAGTAGGGTGTAGATTCTACATTTGGTGATTAAAAGTGCATTTTGTTATGTGTCGTTCCTTAGATCCCCGTGGAGTAATAAATATGAACCTCCCATTGAAGATGGTGCAATGCCGTCGGCTCGCTTGAGGAAACTTGAAGTTGAAGCCAATAACGCCTTCGACCAGTACAGAGACCTGTAAGTACCAGCAGGGCAAACCACGAGGAGATGATGGGTAAGAGCAGTCGGTCTGGACCTCTTGTGACTTTTAAAACCCGTGTGCTTCAGGTACTTTGAGGGCGGCGTGTCCTCCGTGTACCTCTGGGACTTGGATCACGGCTTTGCAGGAGTTATTCTCATTAAAAAGGCCGGGGATGGATCCAAGAAGATCAAGGGATGCTGGGACTCTATTCATGTGGTGGAAGTGCAGGTGAGCTGATGTTTTCTCACATTTTTTTAACTACCCTTCTTTTTAAAGAATTGTTTTAATCTGAACTTTCTTATTTTTCATTACAGAAGTGAGAGCGGAATAAACAAATTTAGCAAGCATGCCACCCAAAACGAGTATTGACTAATTGCTGCAAAACATTAGTTTAGATAAATGTGGCTTTTGAAGACTAAACTTTTGCGACATATTTTAACATTATCAGTGTATAAAAGGTAAAAGAAAAAAAAATAAAACCAGCATGGCTTTGACCTTATTGCAAATACGCAAACAATTTACCTGTAGGATTTTTAACTCCATTTGTTTCCATAAAGTCTGAACTCAGTTGTGCCAACAACTATACACACTCTAGACCTGATCCGAGTACTGGGTACTTCCACTTGTATCTTTTGTAAATGCAACTATAAAAGCAGCCAGGTCCTTTAGAAAGTTCTTGAAGTTGTTTATTATGAATAAACTTTAAAAGTCTAAAGCTGAGGGTATAACAATAGTCTTGACCCTGTAAAATTTTGATAATATGGAAATTCACATATATGGAACATGTATG